GAGGTGAAGGCCGGAGCTGTCTGTGTAGCCCCTGCCGACCGCCCGTGATGCCTCCGTCTTCGGCACCGCCTCCACCTTCGGCGCCGGCGACCACCGGTGACAGGAACGGCGTTGGTCGACTTGACCCTACCTGAGTCTTGCGAGCCACCATGGTCCGCCGGCCCAGCAGAGCAGGCGGGGTGCTGCGGCTGGCGACCCATAGCTCTTGCATCGCCCGAGCTCCAAGCGCCTTGGCTGCTTGCAGTCGCGCGCAATGTGTCAAAATCCCCTGCACCGCAAACATTGTTGGGGAAGCTTGCAGGTTGCCACCCGATGCACGAAGGAGAGGCAATTGAGCCATTTGCCAAGAAGATCTGCTGAGATGCGCCTCGGTGGTCGACGACTCGCTGGCTAGCCTCCTCTTGCTGGCCCTCGTGGCTCAGCTGAGGCGGCCGCTGGTCGTGTCTCCAGCCGGTGGAGGATCTCCCGCCACCCATCGGCGTTGGGGGCGGAGACCCATCCACGGCGCCCGAGGAGCTGGCGTGCCGGGATGCGGCCCTCCACTGGCCGAGCCGGCATGCCGTACAATAGCTGTGGGCGCAGCCGACTGCGTTTTCCCAGCATCCTGGCGACCCGCTGCCGCACCGCCATGGCCCGACGTCACAGGTTGAGTGCGCGACAGGGACATCACAGGCAGCGTCGACGTCCTCGGCGGCTGCGGCTCCTGACGAACCGCGTCTAGGTAGGGGGTCATGGAGGTGGTCTGCACCTCTTCCGTATCGGAGTCGTCGTTCGCCCAATGACGGGCCTTGGAGCGTCCTGCCGTGCTACTCCCAGGATGGAAGGGGGCAGCTTGGGGGATAGGGTGGACGATGGGCTCAGGACAGGGGGCGGATGGGTGAACGAGGAAGGCGTCGAGGTCGGAGGTAGCGGAGGACGACGACGCTGCCGCGGAGCCACGCCGGGAGGCTGCCTCCCGGTAGAGTGCCGCTGCCCCGGCCCCCGTGTCATGGGGCCCTATGCCCACCGGCTGGGCGAGCGCAGCAGCAGGCCCGGTCGCCGCCTGGCTGTGCGGGGCTGCCTCTGTCACAGCTTGGCCGCGAGCTGTTGACGTGGGTGGTGGTGGCTGCGCATCAGGCGACTGCGGCAGCGACGAGCTCGGACCGGGGCCGCCCATGGCAGCCAGCTTCTTGGGACCGACTTCCGCCGGCACCTTCTCCTCTGGCGACGTCATGGGCCGTGGCGGCGGCAGTGGCTGCTACCGCGCAGCAGCCACTCCATCGCTGCCGGCCATGGATCCGGCCGCCCGAGGCCCATCTGCATGGGAATCGGCCGCCTCCTCGGTCTGCTGCGGCGGTAGCGCCCCATCACCGGCTTCCGCGAGCTGGGAGGCCGCGGTGGTGGCGGCGGCGACGCTAGGCCCCAGCTGCGGAGGAGGGGGAGCGGGCAGAGGGGAAGGAGGGGAGGGAGGGGTGGAGACGACCTTCGTGGCTGTGGCCACTGTGGCCGGGACGGCCCGCACCGGCGCCGGCGCTGTCGAGGATGGGGAGCATGGCGTGGAAATGGACACTGTAGCACTGGAATGTTTTAAGACAAACTGTATTTAATCAAATTGATAGCATTTATGTTTGAACGCACCAGCACCTTACGTGACTGGAACGAGAGATTTTGATATTTGACATTAAAAATTGCAAGCCTTTCACGATTTGACACTCGTATCACATTGACATGTGGAGTCAACCTAAGTCATTGACATGTGGGTTAGGATGTCGAATCTTGAAAGGGTCACGAATTGGATGTCAATTTTAGAAATCATCGCAGAATCTAGAATTTTCTTAATGGCCAACAATATTTAGGGGCCAAAATAGAACCAAGAGGAAAACCTACGCAGGCAAAAACACACACACACACACACACAAAGAGAGGTAGGAGCCTAGGAGGGGATGTTTTTTCCTGTACTTTTCCTATGAAATCAGCTATGCAGGAATGTTTTGTTTAAATTTTTCGATGTTGATTCTATGAGCCAAAGAGTGCAATGGTGTTGAATCTTACAGGAAAGGAAATCCTCCATTTTATCTATGAAATTCTTTTAAACCAAAGGAGGCCTTAGATTTTAACAATGTTTTTTTTTTTGTTAGAATTGAGATCCTATGTAGTAATATCCTACCGGTACGTGATGGTATCATTTGAAACTCTCGCTTAGAATCAAGATACTATTAAATTGAGGATACAATGGCAGCAACTAAGCAGCTGTTTTTTTTATAAAAAAAATCCACGGTCTTCTAATTATTCTACTAGTAACCCCTTAGGCCATACCCTTTGTTTATTTTGAAGATAAAATCGAAGGAGAACTCTGTAAAAGACATTATATATGCTAATATGCATGAGAGAGTAAAAACGCATTGCTAATACCACCACGACACGACAACACCAAAGCGCACGACAAGAAGATCGATCACAAGGTCAAGCTACATACAGTGCACTGATACACACATCTCTGTTTGACGCGGAGTCGTGGACACAGGAAACCTGACAGACGGACAGAGTGATAGTTACCCAAAAGAAAAATGTACACATGCACGGATCGGACCAGAGCACTCTGCACTCTGCATGCATGCGGTTTCTGATCGGCCGGCCGCTTCGAACTGCCCGACCACCGTGAGGACACGACGACGACGACGACGACACGACTATGTGCAAGTGCAACAGCACTAGTTAACTTACTGACTGCGGCTCATGATCTTGTGACCTCCTCCGACTCGGACGGCGGAGGGTGGCGAGGAGAGATGGCGACCACGACGGCGGCCTTCTCCTCCTCCACCGACGGCGAGCTGGGTTCCAACGTCCTCCTCGCCATCGCGAACCCCCTGAGCCCCGTAGGCAGCTGGGGCACCGGACTACTACAGTCTCTCCGCCGCCTCACCTTCCGCTTCTTCTCGTTCCCCTTCTTCGTCGCCCTTGCATATTGTCCTTCTTCCTCTCGGCCGCCTCGTAGTCGTCCTTGCTGGGCTCCACGTCGAGCCCCAGTTCCACGAGCTTCCTGAAGCGGCACTCCGACCACCGGTCCTGGCTAATCAACCAAATTACCCAACAGGCTGTGATCATAAAAAATAGTACTATTTCTAATCATCCAAATTACGCAACAGGCTGTGATCATAATTTCTCTGAAAATCGAGTTGCCAAAGTTTGTTCTAGCCTCAATTATCATGTCTAAAGGTTGCAGGTTAAGGTTTCATGTATATGGAGAGTGTTCCAGCAGTCCTGGCTAAATGAGCATTCAAAGAAGAGACTGTTGCAAAGAACGCAGCTGTAATCATCCAAGTCTTTGTTCTTTCTTCTAAGCAGGTTCCTGGTGTTAAGCCTATCTCTAAGCAAAAGCCAGAGGAACTTATGCTTGACCAGGTTGCTCGAAGACCATAGCCAAGTAAAGAGAGGGGAGGCTTCCACAGTTCCCAGCAATTGTGAATATCCTTTCCTAGTGTTGAAAAGTGTTGGGCCCCAGATATAATGCCAGATGACCCAGATGTCATGGAGCTCAATATTCATCTCTCTTTCCTGCATAAGAAGATGCAACTCTGCTAGTTGATTTGCTGCCTGGCTGGACATTGGTAAACTGAAGATGCTGCTGATGTTCTGATCTAGGTTGAACCTAATTGGAACACTTAGGCTTCTTGGTGAAGGAGGAGAGCTGAGGGAATCTGTTCTTCAGTGGATTGCCAGACCATTGATCAAGCCAAATCATTACAGTGTCCCCTTTGTTTGGAAGGCATTCTGAGAAGTTTTTGAATTTTCAGCTTCTTTGTTTCTAAAACTCGGTGCTTTGCGTGGCACCCAAATAAAGCAGAAACTACTAGTTGCAGACCTTGATGTGATGGGTGAGGGCTTGGGGCAGACAAACACCCGACAGGTTTGTGGTTCACAACGAATTTAGTAAGTTATAGTGAGCATGGGAGCCATGCTTTTGCTCTTTAACCTTTGCCTTTGGAAAAAAACATATGATGGAATCCAGCATGCTGAAGATGCAAGCAAAGAATCATCTGTTATATGGATGAACACAAAATATAAGTCCTACACTGCATGCATATCATATTTGTGTTAAAAAAGAGAGAGCAAAGGTTGGTTCATCTGGACCACCGGCCCTTTACTGTGCAAGCATACATCTTTCACAAGGCTGGTAGCGCACCTCTATCTCCTTGACACGCACAACATAACCTCTATCTCCTTGACACGCACAACAGAGACACGCCCATTCATCACTCTGTTGTTTCAGTCTATTAGGCCGGTTCATTCAATCTGCGAATTTTCCTACGTACTGGACCAGTGGACCCTGCCAACAATCTAATTCAAGGGGATCAAACTAAGGTATGTCACTACATGACTACTCCCTTCACATGCAGATGTCCATCTCAAAGGTGTATACATAAAATACATGTTTGGAGCATGTGCAGAATGCATGGGACTCAAGTTTTTTTCTTCTTCTTTTGAACATTAAATACAGCAGGGGAGGCCCCCACTGCAGAGATTTTTATTAAAAGAGGCAAAAAAAAAACTGCACAAACCAGTCTGGCAAGATGCCAAACAGCGGAAGCAGGCCTAAAAAGGCCAAAATTTTTCAGTAGCTACATACCCGAACAGATAGCACAAATTTTTTTATGCTTATATGCATGTGATGGTATTTTGTGCAGAATAATGTACTTGCTAGTTAATTGTTTTTGACTCGTTTCATGCATCTTGATCTAAAAAAAGACCTCGTCTCATGCTTGTGTGTTGATCTGTCCAGGCAAGAGTTTAATCAATGGGTTAGATTTGTAATCCAAACGGAACCCACATCTGCTGCAGCCTGGCGAGATTATCACTGCATGGCTCTTCTTCCATGCTTCCAAATGAGATGAATGAATGTGTTTGCAGTATCACTGCTCAAGATCTATATAGCTAATAGCAACATATATACTGCTGACAAGTCAACCGCCGGAGCTACTTACCAGCCTGCTGTGGGTTAATTCAATCCAATCCTGCCCATCATGCGCACTAAGGTAATTGATTTTATTTCGTCGCAAAAAAAACGGGTAATTGATTTTATTTACAAAAGTAATAGTGGCATCTGAACTATGCATATGAAAATCACAGTACATAATTAGACTAGTTGACCAAATTAAACAAAGCATGATCTATCACATTCCTCCCCAGTGGACTGATGTATGTACATGTGCATGCAGGTTATCAAAGCAGACAGCATCGACGCAGCAGTTGAGCAAATTCTTGATGAGCTCAAGGAAGACAACACTGCTCGAAGCATCAGCAGCAGAAACAACAGTGTCATCTACTTCGATGGCTGGGACGGGCTGGGGGCATCCACCGTTCTCCGAGCCGTGTCCCAGCGCCTGGCCGTGGCTTCAGAGGCCCCGGCTGGACTCAAGTTTGATCAGATCATCCACGTCGACTGCTCCAAGTGGGAGGGCAGGAGAGTGCTTCAGCGGGCTGTCGCGGAGCAGCTGGAGCTCCCTGCCCCGCTGATGGACATGTTGGACAAGCAAGATGAGGAGGACAAGTTCAACGGGGTCAGCCTGGAATCCCGCCTCGAGATACCACAAGTTCTCAGGGGGATGCATCGACGCATACAGGACCTGAACCGTAGGTTCTTGGTGATTTTCCACAATGGAAGCAATGAGGAGATTGATCTAGCCAGCTTCGGCTTCCCTCTGTCTCAATACTTAGACAACAAGGTGCTGTGGACGTTCCAAGGGAGGTTCCGGCTTTACCCCAAGAACAAAGTTGTCGGTGCCATGAAGAGCACAGCAGGGGCATCCAAGACTGATGTTTTTCTCTCGGCCCGCCACAGCCTTGGGGGGAGAGAGCCACATGAGCTCGGCACCATCCTTGTGCACCAGGAGGCTTCAGAAGTCACTGCACAAAGTGAGATCACGATCAATACTAGCAATGGGCCTGCACAAGTCAGCGAGCACTTCCTCTTGCACATGCTGAAGCTATGCTGCATGAGCCATAACTTATTGATGGACTATGATTTGGCCACCCATGCCTGCAACTACTGGATATGTGATGGCATCATACAGCGGCAAGGAGATGGAGATGATATCAGCACCGATGGTGGTGGTGATGAAGGATTATGGAGAGCAGCTGCTGCTCTGCAGCATGAGATGCGATTAGATGTGGACCACTACCAATATGAACACAAATATTTTCCCTCTCAGCTGGCACCGTATGGAATGTGCACGATGCCAAACAGCACTGCACCCTACGGATTTCTGGCGATCCCGGCAGGAGCCATCCCCAATTCAGACATGTTCCAAGATTTCAACAAGCTACGTGTGCTGAAGCTCTCACGCCGCACATTCAGCTTCTCATCTCCTCCGTTCATCTACTGCCACAACCTCAAGTTTCTATGGCTCGACCACTGCCAAGACCAAGATAACCACAGTAGCATAGATGGTGGTTTCCCTCAAGAAGAACAGGAGGACAAGATCACAGCTGATGGAGCAGGGACAGAGGATGACTTTCAGCGTTGCTTCCAGAGGTTATGGGTGCTTGATGTGCGCTACACACGCTGTGATCAGATCTTGTCCGCACGGATGCTGGATTTCATGACTCAGCTTAGGGAGCTGAATGTGATGGGAGCCCAGGATTGGGACATATGCCAGCTGCAGGGGCGGCTGCCTAACATCCGCAAGCTTCAAGTCACCAAGTCAACACTCAACTCCTCGGAACATAACTTGTTCTTGGGGATGAGCAAGATGGAGCTTCTTGACCTTTCTGGAAACCGTAGCTCACAGGAGGGTGTGACAAAATTATCTGGGATATGTACCAGCAGCAACCAACTTGAGACTCTGATGATTATTGATAATGAGTGGGACGGGATACAAAAGTTGTCCTTCACGGGATGTGCTAAATTGAGGAATGTATTGCTGAGCGGATTGTTTGAGGACCTCCACATCCTAGACTTGTCTGGCACAGCAGTCCAAACACTAGACCTCCGTGCCATGACAGCCCATAACATAGATGAGCTCTTCCTGGATTATTGTGAGAAGCTTTGTGCAATCCTGTGGCCACCAAAAGACAAATGGACAAGTTCCTCATGGAAGCTGCACATTGACACCACAGAGTCAGCTGCATGGTTGGTGGTACCCTGGGAAGAAAAGTCCACAGAGGGTCACACTACCCCCACCGCCACGAGAACATCAGCAGGATCATTATCTGTGGTCCATGGCGGTAAGGTACCCTCTGAATTTGATTGGCGTATCATGGTAAGAGATGCAAGGCTCCTCAGGTCACTTGTGCCCCTGATAGAGTATTTCAAGTATCCCAAAGTGGCACATGTTGAGGTTTCCTCTCCTGCTCTTGATTTTGGTTCTGGCAAAGACAGTGAAGCAGTCAGTAGCGGTACCAAGCAGCAGCAGCATGTGCTAGCAAGTGTGGAGCAGCCTGAACATACAAGTTGGATATATGAAGATGTTGCAGTCACTTTTAACAAAGACCATGAGTCGTTTCTGCAGGGGGAAAGCGAAGAAGGGGATGGTGATGCCCCAACACTGGCACGAGTATGGCCTTGCCCACGGATTCCTCACTTGGATGACTTGACCTGCTACATGCACATACAAGACCACCACAATGCGTGGAGGACCAAATCAGTGCAAGAGGGCGTATCCAGTGCAGAGAGCTCCCGCTCTGTGCGGGGTCTGGAGAAGGGTGTCAGTGGCGAGCCTTACCCCCGCCCTTCTAAATCAGTGCAAGAGGGTGAAGAAGAAACTATACCTGGTATTATCTCTGATATTGCTGGGATCTTGCACGTGCATGATAGCTCATCCATCACTAGCATCCCATGCCCTGCCCCTAAATTGGTGTCAAGTAGCATCCCATGGCTTTCAATGCCTTCAACATGGGGCCTTCTAAATTGGTGTCGAGTCGAGCGTTGCCCCAATCTGGAATGTGTATTTACCACCCCCGAATCAGATCAGAGCGCTGCCCCATATGATGAGATCCACTTTGAACACCTGAGGACATTCTGGGCGTCACGCCTCCTTAAAGCACAATGCATATGGGAATGGGTGACACAGGTCCTTGAATTACATGCACTTTATTATATTCATGACACAACACCATCGGATAGGTTGTCATTTCAGCATTTGACATCGTTGCACCTGGAGTTGTGCCCGCGGCTGATATATGTACTAGCTACCAAGTTCACGTCAGCGTACGGCAAACAAACAGACTTGTTCAACTACACTAATGGGCTAGACAACTTGCAGACTCTCGAGATCGTGTGGTGTGGTGCTCTCACGGAGATCTTCTCCTTGTATGTGGGTGCCCCCCAGCAGATGCCGATTTCGGTGACATTCAACAGCCTAAAGCGCATCCACCTACATGAGCTGCCCATGCTACAGGGCATCTGCGGGCACGGGGCTGCTGGAGTCTTAGGAGCCTGCCGTTTCTCAGGCACAGGCACGGGCTCATGCATGGGGGCTTGGGCGAGTATGACTACCAACCCAAGGTGCACTGCGACTGCGAGAAAGAATGGTGGGACCAGCTGGAGTGGAAAGGGCACGACCACCGTTCCTGTTACGAGCCGACCCACCCGCGGCCTTACAAGAAGACCTTGCTCAGGGGCTCCGTGCTCATATGAGGTATGTATTAATTAACGTGGGTATGTGCTCATGCTCACTTTAGTTTCTAGTACGTATTTCTGCTATGTGTAAATAAATGAACGGACAATGAATAAAATGAACCTCTCTTCTCATCTTTCCTTTCCTGCAGCTAGGTAATGTAAGCAAGGCCTACTACTCTGCTTGATCCTGCGTCGTCTCTCTTCTACACACAGACTGTGATACTACTCTGCTCTGGTCTCCCCTGCCTTTGGTCAGTTGATCTTTGGAAGTACGGATGCATGCCTATATATGCTTGTGTCATTATGGCCTGCATCTTGTCTAGATCAACCTGCATTGGATTGCTTCTTTTTGGTTTGTGAGTGAGTGCTGTTATAGAGTCGTGACATCTTATTGTCTGAGATGTAAGATGGTGTGATACAGATGGACCTCTACTCTACTCTGAGCAGTAGAGAAACAAATAAGGGCGAGACAGAGACTGGCTGCTGCTGCTGCTGCCTGCTGTGCTCCCGTCGTGTGTGGTACTGTGGTGTGGACTTGTTGTGTGGTGTGCTGCTGTGGCTTGTGATCCACTTGCCAGATTGTTCAAGTTTGCTCTCATGATTGTTGCTTTGGTGTGGTTATTGTAAAACTAAACATGGATGATTCAATAAATGATTATGCTTGTGTGCTTGCTTGCTGGTTTGTATTGTATGCAGCACAACTGCCACATGTGTGATTGCATCTCTTATAGAAAGTAAAATGGGTTTTGTTGATTGTGTTTTTCGTATTCTTACCTCACCGTTCCAGAAGTAAAATGGGGCTAGTATCACGAAATGACCCTTGCCATACCATGCAGTTTGTTTGTTGAGAGAGTCTATGTGCATACACTTCCTATAGAGAAGAGAGTGTTTTAGCTAGCTTACACAAGATGGCTTTTGCAAGGTTCGTTGGGATGGGGGCAGTTTTCCTCATGTTTCTCAAGTTCAGGATCTTAGAAATCCATAATGATATGATCTACTAGATGATCATGATTTGTCCCGAAGGCATCCATCCGCTGTACTATTTCTTGTTTGGTGAGTTTTCCTCGTATGGTTTTTTTAACAAGGCAACAATGATGAATTGATGATTGTGTGCATAATCTCACGATAGTAAAATCCCTACTCACAAGCTGCTGCTATGCTCCCTCGCAACCGTAACATATTAATTATATCGTACCGTCGCGGGTAGGTTGGAGGAGGATAACGTCGCCGGTGCCGTGGGTAGACGAGGGCGTCGCCACCAGTGCCGTGAAAGAGGGCGCCGCTGCGGGATGGTGGAGGCCTGCGCCGCCGCCAGTGCCCTGGGCACCTTCCACGGGTCAGGCCACCCGTGCCGCCGCCGGGGCCGCCGTGCCCGCGTGGGGAAGGAGGAGCCGCGGCTGCCGGTGGGGAAGGAGGAGCCGCGGCTGCCGGTGGGGAAGGAGGAGCCGTGACAGCCAGTTGTGAAGGAGGAGTAGAGTGGCTGTCACCGGTGGGAAAGGAGGAGGAGCCGCCATGGAAGGAAATCCTCTGCAGTCGCTCGCACGGACGGCGCCACGTAGCCACCAAATCTCAGCCGCTCGTCGTGGATCCAACAGCTACGGGCTCCAACCAAGCTTCCATGGCACGCTTCGTCAGCTGCGCTGGGCCTCGGCCCAACAACAGCATCACGCTGCTCGGGTTTTTGGCACTACAGCGAGCGTTTTTGGCGCGAGGCTGCGGCAGTAGGCGCGCTCTCCATATTTTGGCGTAAGGCTGTGGCAGTAGACGTTCTCTCCGTATTTTGGCGTGAGGAAAAGCCTAGAGGGGCGATCATCTAGAGCTGGAGCTAGGCCGCCTTCGAGGGCAGGTGTGTCGCTCTTCATTCTAATTTGTTCCTGTGTGCTCAAATTGCAAAATGCACCGTTGTTTTCTCTTCTCACCAATACCCAGATTGCAAGGGTTAGGTCCTAATTTGGTTGCTTTTGTCCTATACCAAAACAAAATCTGCATATTTTAGATGGAAGATTGAAGGTGACATCAACTTGCCCATATTGAAATTAAATCTGCATATTTGACATGGAAGAAAAAAGGTTTGTAATGCCATGGATGTTTCTTGTTCTCCACAAAATTAGATAGACTTCAGTTCCTTTACCACCAAATTAAATACCCTTATCATAATTATTTTTTTTCTTACAGTAGGGAGGGTTTGCATCCTAATTTGTTACCTCAAGTTGGAATGGAGTTTAGTACTATAGATGAGGCTTGGATGTATTGGATTAGCTATGGAGGTCAAAATGGTTTTGAGGTTAGAAAAAGGTACGCAAACAAAAGAAAGACAGATGGGAAGATTCGGTCCTGCAGATATGTTTGTGCAAATGAGGGTCATAGAAAACAGGATAAAAGGGATCATGTAACAAAGTGTCCAAGAGCTGAAACTAGAACTAATTGTAAAGTTCGCATGGGTCTTGTAATGGATCGAGAGAAGGAAAACTACAAGGTGTCTGATCTGATTTTAGAACACAATCACGACCTTCATTTGCCATAAACCTCGCACTTGATGGTGTCTCAAAGGAAAATTTCAGAGTTATAAGGTTTTCAAATTGAGACAGCTGATGATGCTGGAATTGGTCCTAAAGCTGCACATGATTTGGCTAGTCTCCAAGTTGGTGGCTCACTTAATCTAAGTAGACCTTTTGGTGTTTTTGTTGGGTTCAACCATTCTAGGGAAACTATGGTTTTTGGTGCTATTCTCTTATATGATGAGACATTTGAGTCGTTCAAGTGGCTATTTAAGACCTTCCTGAAAGCACATAATGGCAAGCACCCTAAAACAATTTATATGGATCAGGATGCTGCGATGAGAAAAGCTATTCATGAAGTGTTTTCAGAGACATGGCATGGTTTGTGTACTTTTCACATTATGCAGAATGCTGCGAAACATCTAGCTGAACCCGAAAAAGATGAATCAAGCACTTGCTCCAAAGATGTAGTTGAGGGCACCAAGGAAGAACTAAGTATCCTCGCAGATTTTAGTGCATGTATGTACGAATATGAAGATGAGGAAACATTCAAAAATGCATTTGACATCATGAGGACAAAGGTGAAGAAGCAAACTTGGTTGGATAGTATATATAAGGTGAAAGAAAAAATGAGCTGAATGTTATATGAAAGATGTGTTCACATTAGGGATTTGAAGTACACAATTAAGTGAGAGTCTGAATAGTGAACTGAAGAGGCATTTCAAATTTGGTTTTGATATCATTCGATTTCTTAAACATTTTGAAAGGGTGGTGGAAAGTAAAAGAAATAAGGAGTTGAATTCCGAATTTGAATCAAGAAAAAAATTATCTAGAATCAAAATGAGGACACCTATGTTATTGCAAGTTAGCAAGCTGTACACATCTGTTATATTTGAAGTTTTTCAAGGTGAATATGAAAGGTCCATAGCAGCGTGCACTACGGCGTTGGAAGGCAACAATGAATATCTTGTCTTAATTGGGAGTCTTGATGAAGATTTTATATATGAGAAGGAGTACAAAGTCATTGGTGATTCTTTACAATAAACTAGTACATGCAGTTGTGGGTAATTCAACAGAATTGGAATACTGTGTGGCCATGCTATAAAAGTCCTTGATTTGATGAATATCAAATCTCTCTCTGCTCAATATGTATTGAAGCGATGGACAAAAGAAGCACGTAGTGGAGCAATACAAGACAACCAAGGTCGAAATATAATAGAGAACCCAATGTTAAATGAGACACTTTGGTACAAATCTATGACACAAATTTCTCAGCTTGGCACATCGAGCTGCGAGCCATCCAGGGTGCTCCTTCATAGTACATGACACACTTGATATCCTTAGCAAGAAAATTGAAGAACAAATCAATGGCTGCACTCCCCCAACTGTGGATCGAGTCACTGTTCCCACAAATGTTACTCTTGTAAGTAATTTGGTGAGTACAGCACGCTTAAAGAAAAAGGTGGTGGAAACAAAAACTTCGAAACGCAAAAAAACTTGGCTTGATAAGAAGCGCAAGTTTACAAAGAAGGGAACTAAAAAAAGAAGAAAGGTTCAATGATATGTACTACCACAGAATATATTAGATTCTCTGTAGTTGTATCAATGGGAAACTGTTATCTAATTCTCTTCTATTATGGAAGGGACAACAAACTGTTAAAGTGGTGTTCGATGATGGTGTAGCAGCAGAAAATGTTTGGCCTAGTACTTCTTGTCCCAAGGAAGGAATGTCTGAACCTTACATGGCCATTCATAGCTACTCTCAGTTATTGACAGTAAGATTTAAAAACTATGATTTTCCATCTTTCTAGTGAGGATCTGGACAGAGTTTAATTATTGTTCTTTTATTTTGCAGGGAGCAATAACTGATGATCTTAATGTTGAATTCTAGTAATAGAGCTAGTTCTGGAATAGCTTTTGGTATTTTGCTTGAAGTGTAAAGTTCAGCCTGTTTAATTATAACATATGCTAGAAAATAGTACTATATTTTGTTAAGCCTCTGAACTTGCAAAAATCAGTAAGATATTCTTACTTCTGAACATGTCTTTGAACTTGCAAAAAGGAGCACAATTTATTCCACAATTGCAGTCTATACAGCTTGCTTATTTTTCCTAGTTTCTATATAAAAGTATCTAGGCCCCTAGTTGGGTTTCGGTGATTAATGACGACACGAGATTACTATGACTAACGTGTGTTTTGCAGAGGCAATTTGAGTTAGGTTATGGTAATGACAATTGATTGGGCAATCATAGTTGCCATGCCCCTGTCGATGGAAATTGTTTCAATTTTCAAAGGATGGACGACAAGGTTAAGGATGGACTAGTTCTAAGTGTTGTTTGGTGTTGAAGAGACACTTAGAGTAGTTTAGGACTTTATTTTTTCTTTGGCCATATTATTAAGGGGGTATGGACTAGTAACTTGACCTAGGTGAGTCTAGTGGGTTAGGTGTGGTGCACACTTGTCAAATATAGCACTAGGTAGCTCAGGAGTAGCCCTAAGATCAACTGGAGTAAACTTCATTCACATAGGATTTCGAGTTGGAAGTGAATGGAGGGTCAAATGACTGACCGGACGCTGGTCTGGTTGTGACCAGACGTTGGAGGGTGAGTCCGGTCAGTTCATTTGATCAACTAAAGTCGTCTGGTTGCGACCGGACGCTGAGTGCGGTCAACTCCAGAGAGGGATTTTCTTGACCGGACGCTGGTCAGGATCCGGTAACTGACCGGACGCTGAACAGCGAAGTGACTGGACTCTGGGTGCCACCATCCGATCAATATCAGTAAGGTTCTAGAGAGAGTTTTTCTTGACCGGACGTAGGTCAGAGTCCAGTCAGAACTTAACGGCTCTTTCTGACACAGTGACAGGGATAACTGACCGGAGCGTCCGGTCACCCCGCAGAGTGATGACTCAGCCTTCAAACGTTATGTTTTGAATGAGGGGATATAAATACTTACTCCACTCGTCCAAGGGAGGTTCTTGTCCATTTGTTCAGCTGAGAAACACCTTAAGAGTGCAAGGGAGAGCAAGAGCCTAGTGAGGTGATTGAGATTTGAGAATCCAAGATTAAGATCCTCATTAGTGCAAGGAGAGTAGCAAGTGTGCATCCAACCTTCTCATTAGACTTGTCGTGGTCAAGTGAGAGTTTGTGCTTGTCGCCTTAAGACTGCAAAGGATTTCGTTCCGAGCCGCCACCGACTGCTATGTGTGAGATGGGAGGAAATGAATGGGAAGACAAAATGCAAAATGCAAAAAAAAAAGTGGAGCTATTTATATATAAAACAAATGAAAAAACAAATGAAACAAGGACTTTTACATTTACGATATATAAGACCATCTCCAAAATTTCTCTCCCAAAATCGTTGAGTTTTCCGAATCGCCAAAAATAATTTAGAGTAGAAAAGAAGGGCTCCTCCAACAGTTTCTAAAAAGTAACTCCCAAAATATCAAAAATTAGACACGTATGAAACTTTTCAAGCATGCAGTGGCAATTTCGTAGATATCATCATCTTTTTCCTAAGAACAAGCTACAGAAAAGCTTTCTGAGTGCGTTGCTACGGTTCGAGCTGGCGGTGGTAGTGGCGGTCACGGGGGAAGGCCGGCGTGGGGTTGGCCTTATTGCGGTTGGTGGACACCGACGGCTGGCCGATGACGACTAGCGGCGCGGGCTCGAACTGGATCCAAGACCCGACGGCTTTGCTTCTCTCGATGGCTTTGTGACGCGTGCGACCGGGTGACGGCGGCATGGCGGCATCAACGGCGCGTCGCGGTGCCACCCCAATGGCTCATGGGAGATGATGACGCGGCGCGGGATAGTCAGCTTCTCCCGGGCACGCGACTATTGCCACAGTCGACCAGGTCCGGCGACGCGCAGAGTGGCTCCTTGTCCGGGGACATGATGCGCGGGAGACGGAGCAGCGTGGGTAGTGAGGGGATACGCGCGACTCCACTACGCGAATTTATCCATGCGTTGGGTTATTTTTTTCAAGTGCTAAAAGATTGGGAGACATGTTTTTTTCAATCTTGCCAAAAATTAAAGGATTGGGAAAGTCTTTTGAGATCTGTATTAGGGTTGCGGGGAGCATAGCAGCAGGTTATGAGGTAAGGATTTTACTATCGTGAGATTGTATAATGGTTATGGGATAACAAGTGGTCCGTGGGGGTGTTGAATTTATTTAACACCTTGCGTGCTGGTATATATGTATGTCATGTATAATGAGACAGTAAGAACGCATTGCCAACCCAGCAGCCACCACGACAACACCAAAGCACACGACTAGATGATCGATCACAGCAAGGTCAGGGTACGTACATACACTGATACACACATCTCGTCTGTTCGACGCGGACACAGAAAAGAGAAAACATGACAGCTGCCAACAAGAAAAATGTACACATGCACGGATCGGACCAGAGCACTCTGCATGCATGCAGCTTCTGATCGGCCGGCCGCTTTGAACTGCCCGACCACCGTGAGGACACGACTATGTGCAAGTGCAACAGCACTAGTTAACTTACTGACTGCGGCTCATGATCTTGTGACCTCCTCCGGCTCCGATGGAGGGTGGCGAGGAGAGACGGGGATGACGGAGACGGTGGCCTCCTCCTCCTCCACCGATGGCAGGCTGGGCTCCCATGTCCTCCTCGCCGCCGCGAACCCCCTGAGCCCCATCGGCAGCTGGGGCACCGGAGTATGGTGTCTCCGCTGCCTTCCCTTCCGCTTCTTCTTGTTCCCCTTCTTCGTCGTCCTTGCCTTGTGCTGCTTCCTCTCGGCCGGCTCGTCGTCGTCTTTGCTCGGCGCCACGGCGAGCCCCTGTTCCACGAGCTTCCTGAAGCGGCACTCCGACCACCGGTCGTTGGCCACGAAGTAGTCCCTCGCGCTGCACGCCGGCATGGGGGTAGCACCGTCACCCGCCGCGGCCGCCTCCTCTTCCGACGACACCGCGCCGCCGCCGCTGCTGTGGCCCTCCGAGGACGTCTCCTCCTCCTCCTCCTGCTCATCGTCGTCGTACTCCTCGTCGGCTAAGGCGCCGATAGAGCTCTCGGGGATCTTCTGCTTCAACCTGACGACGGTGCTCTCGGGGAGCAGCAGGAACTTCTGGCCGGGGAAGAGCGGCTCGAGCGGGCGGACGACGGCGCCGTGCGGGTTGCGGAACACGTCCGGGTGCGCGAGGCAGAGCCCCGGCGGGTGGTTCCGGATGACGGTGCACGCCAGCACCACGCCCGGGTACACCTCCACCACCCCGCCCCGCAGCACCACCCGCACCACCGCCTCCTTCCTCGCCGCCACCGACGACGAGCTGCTCAGCTCCATGGACATGCTGACGCTGCTGCCGGGCGGCGGCGGCTGCGGCTTCTTCTTCTTCTTGGGCATGCCGATGGCGGTCCGGAGCGCGCGCCGCACCGACTTGCCCAGCGGCACCGTGGCGCCGTGCGCCATGGATGGCACTCGATCGATGGCTTGCCGGGATACCAAACCAAGCGAAGCACAAGGGCAGATTAGAAGAGGATTGGAGAGCACAAGGAAGGGAAAGGAAAAGAAGAAGGGGAGGGTGGCTGGAAGCTGCGTGGCTGTGCAAATATATTGCTCTTGTGTTTGTCAGCTTCTGGTAACCAGGGGAGGCAGCTCTCTTGTTGTTTGTGTCGTCGTCGTGTCGATGTGCGCGAGCGCGATCTGCCAGCGGTGGCGCCCCAAGATACGCACGTCCGGTCCGGGTGGCTGTCTGGCTGATGCTCCTCGCGGTCATCAGCGCTAGCTGTTGTATCTTGTTTGGGCCTCCTCGGGACCATCGATGCATGGATCGAGCTGGACGACGACGAGGGAAGGTCATGGTAATCCATGCGCTCACGCAAGGTGACGACCGGCCGGAGAGATCGATGGGGCACGCCGACATGCATGACACTAACGCGTGACGCCAATGCAATGCAACCCACGGGCCGGCTCGTCGACATCGTCCATGTATAGATGATGCCTTGCCTTGCTCGAATGCTCCTGATGATTTTTTTTTTCTCCAGCAATTTTTTTTCTCCTTTTTTTTAGAAGTTGCGAGATGACTCCTTGGGATAATATCGACGTGTACCAGTCTGATGGAGTCGGCTGCTCGGGTCATTTCAGCTAGGAGCCAACTTGATATATATGAAGGTTTTTTTTATTGGATAATATCTCACAGATCTATCTATCGTAACGAAAGGATGTATACACAGGAAGCAGCACTGTCAACACTCACTTTCTCTTGCTAAAAACACACACTCACCTCTCGGTTATTATCGCCTGTGTCATTCTCAAGACACGACTGGGAACGTACTGTCAACATTATTGCGTCAGTGCATACACAGAGTTTAATGCACATATATATGTAAACCAGTAAAAAAATGTTCCATAAATAAGGACCGATTTGGATAAGGGGACTTCGATTCAAACTTACAGAGTTAGCTGACATTCTTATACGTAGAATCCTAAACATTCCTTGAGGTGCATGCTGAAAAGAATAACGTGCTGAATGTAGCAGCAGAGCTATGGATCAATGGATGCAAAGAAAGAAATATCAAGGTCGTATAGCTAGAATCAACAGGCACTGCAAAGGGCAAAAAAAAGGTGCTGAAATAAGTGTTAGTACTGACATAAAATTTGACATATACTCATATACACAAATTGCCTCAGGAGTTCAGACAAGTACAGGCAGTGAACTGAAGTCACAGAAAAACAAGTGCACAGGGCATCAAAAGGCAGACCCCAGCAAATACACAGAACCACTGCTCAGCAAACATCTTTGTTTAAAGAGATGGCCCAAGGTGCCTAACCTACTCGTGTAGGACTGAATATTTACAGATTTTGGTTGGTGTTGTATCCAACAGAGAGAAATGTAGCCGGATGTTGTGACAGACTGACAGTGGCAAATGTTTCGGGTTGTTCTCTCATACTGTTGATTCCTTGTAGTAATGCTTTAGTTAGAAAATCAGGGAGCACAAACACACCTCGTTTTCTACATGCTGTGTGTCAGGTTCAAGGAACACGCCTAATACTCTTTGCACAGCTTTCTTTATGCCCTCCTGGTCTAGGGAAGTGGTCAAATACACTTCCTGGACCTGCCAAGTAATAAGAAGGAATTATAATTCATGTGAGTACTTCTATTTAGTTGGAACCGAAACAGCCAAGGACAGACAGCAGTATATTGAAACTCCTCAGAAAATAAAACAAATCATGTGTGGTATCAAAAGAAACCTAACCTGCCTCCCAGCTCGTGCAAGAAGTGTGAACTTGTTATCCTTAGCTGGAGCCTGTGTAATCAGATCCAAGAAGTTAATCAAAGTTTATAACATCCATCATCTACTGTGAGTTGCAACTATGAAAAGGCTGTCATTGACTGAAAGCATACATTGGAAAGCCAAAGCTCCAAATCTTGTGAAACAACACGTTTCTCCGATCCTTGGCGCCCAAACTGTACATCTGTTATACTGTAAAGATAATACAATTACTTAGACTATGGATGTTAATATAGCAAAACCAATTCTGACTATGGATATCGCAGTAGAACATTTGTCTGACTTGGTGGCATATTTGTGGCAGTAAAGAACTTGCTATAGAAGTACCCCCTCCGTCCCAAAATAAGTGCACTTCTAGCATTTAAAATATGTCCCACAATAAGTGCATTTCTAGGCCATGAACCACCTAGCACTAGTACCTTTTGCTACCTTCTCCATTCCCAATGTGCAATTATTACATGTTGCTATATCTTTTGATAAGGGTATATATGTAATTTTGTAGTAGCATTGGTTTCTCCCCTCCATCCTAGAAGCGCACTTATTTTGAGACGGAGGGAGTATGCAACAATGTAAAGGGCGTACCCAGTGCAGAGAGCTCCCGCTCTGTGCGGGGTCTGGGGAAGGGTGTCAGTGGCAAGCCTTACCCTCGCCTGTGCAATGTGAGGAGATCGCGACTCGAACCTAGGACCTTCCAGTCACAATAATAAGACTCTACCGCTTGCACTAGGCCTGCCCTTCGGAGTATGCAACAATGTAAAAGAAAGAAATAGATATCAATCAAAGAACCAAAAACCATACCCATCCTCTTGCAAGAGTTCATTACATATGCCATCAAGTCCTGGCAGAAGTTCGACTTCTGAAGGAGACATCATACGATCAGGTGATTGATCAGCTTCCTAGAAGGAAAAAAAATTACTGAATGAATCCACTTTTTTCCACCACAGAGTTAAATCCACTAAGAGTCAAGACATTGCATTCAACAACTAACCAAAGGGATAACTTTGTCCAATGTCTCCAGTAAAGGATCTTCCTCCAATTGTCTGATAGATAAAGCTATCCTTGACTTTGCCCTGTTTTTTGTAAATGCAAAGTATGTACAATTATTTCAAAAAAAAATTCTCATTCGTGACAAAGCAATCCAATATTTTATTTATTCCCCTATTATTAAGAAAGGAAATGTTTCCTCAACTTGAAGGAAGAATGATGCTTTGCTAAAACAGACAACTAATTTAAGACCCTCACCTCCCTCTCCCAGTCCCACTCCCCTATGAATTGTAAATGCCGCATATGTGAATGATTGTTAATTTGATAAGGTAGACAGTTAGCATGATAAATCTCCTTACTCATCGCACCCTTTAGCCCTAATGTTACCAAGTTACCACTCCATACCATGCCAACTGACTCTACTGATAAACTGGTAAGTGACAACTTCCATACATGATTCTATGATACATCCACTCAACATTTTGGACCAAAGTTTTGGACCATATCTATTTTGATGATAGAGTAAGACATGAGAATTACTTCATCAAGAATCAAATCAAGACACATATTAACAACTGTGCACAGAGCTCAATAAGGTCCTAGAAAGTACTCACGTATCAATGTTCACAACTATGACCTTGACAGTGTCCCCTTCGTTTAGAAAATCCTGGACGTCTTGGACAAGATCCCAAGACACCTCGGAGATATGTACAAGACCAGTAAGATGATATAGTCCTGTAGAGTGTAGCTGTTGTCAGAAACTCCACAATGAATAGCTAGCCAAGAAAATGTGTTGCCACTAGCCAATAAGTACCATCAGGAAATCGCAGGGTGAACAAATGCACCATAGGGGAACACTGAGCCCACAATTCCATCATAGATGTCGCCAATCTTTATTTGGGAAGAGTACCTTGACCAACTAGCATCCTTCTCAGAGAGAGACAAGTTTCCTTTCCTCCTCATTCACTTCAGCCACCTAGAGCGATTAGATTGAGCTTCTTAATAAAATTAGATCAACAAAACCCTAAAATCTTGACCTCATTTCATTCAATTTTCAGAGTAATTTTGTCAGGTAGAAACATGTTTCGTTTATGATGCAGGAAGTATGTTATACAGAAATATACAGCACATATGAATGGAAGTTTTAGCACATCCTTAGGTTAACACGAAAGTAGCTACAGGCACAACAGAACCAGAAGTTGCAATGGAGAAGGCAAAGAGAAGTCAGTTACCTTGACAGAAATGGACGTTCCTACTAGGTGTTTCGTAATATCTTGGATGGGCCTTTTGGGGTCTGCAAGCTTAGCTATACAATCAAACACTACCTCGCATTTACTGGCAACCACAAGATGCTTACAGAAACCTGCACAGAAAAGAGACAAGAAAAGGCAGCAGTACCTTTACACCAGTGCGCGGGGCTGAGGAGAGGGTTGGGCACGAACCCCTGCAGGGAGTTGAACCTGACAATGAGCCCGCCACTGTTGGCCCTCAGCACCGGCAGCGTGAAGATCCTCCCCTGGTCCTTACCCGCGCGCGCGGCTTCCCAGTCCGCAGCGAACTGCAGGAGACACAGAGCGAGCTTCCTCAATCGACCCTCAACGTCGGCATTTCATCGAGCAGCAGACGAGCCGAGCCGAGCCGCGCGCTCCAGAAGCCAGCAGGCGAGAAGAGGGTAGCTAGCGCCCACGAAACGAACCTGCGGCAGGCGCGCCTCGTCGACCGGGGCGACCGAGGCGTCTCCCTGGCCGGCGGGGGCGCCGGTTCCCTCGGCGGTCGCGGAGAGGAGGAGGGGCCGGTGGTGCAGGCGGGCAGGGAAGGGGACGAAGGCGACTGGGCTCCTCCGGGCGGAAGCGGGGAAGGCCGCGAGCGAAGGCCCCGGCCTGAGGGACACTACCAGCATTGCGCTCGCGCGTGGGAGGGGGCCGGGGCGTAGCTGCCGGCGGCGGTGGTGGGCGGTGGCGCGGGGGGAGAGAATCAGAGGAGCGAAACGAGTGGAGGTGAGAGGGGAGGCGCGAGCTGATTCTGATTCGAGTGGGCTGGGCTGCGCTGCGATAGATGAACACGTGGCTCGGCAAGCTTCTGACACGTGGACGGGCACATTTGGCCCATCTTCTTTCGAATCGATGTGAATGAAGGAGAGAGAAAAAAAAACAATCTTATCCACACGATTGTACTAGTAAAATGTCACGAATTGGTATCCTGTTCACTATCTCCACTCAAAAGATTATCCCGCATTTTATTGAGTCTTTTCCTTCGGCGTCATTATAAAAAATCGTAATTTCCCTCATGTCACTGCAAAATTTCAAAATTCTCTATTGCCATTGCATGATTTTTTTTTTTGCCTGCATGGCATGCTATTTTTCTACTAACAGCTATTAATAGAGCGTGAAAATGATGCTTTTGCTCCCAAAGATGTATGCATAAAAAAAATTCATATCCGAGTAGATGAACAAATATACGATTTTCCATAGTACTAATACAATAGTTTATTGAGACTATCAATTTTCCATACTGTTTATTACAGTCACCAATTCACAATACTAATAAATGACATACTACTAATACAATGGTTGCTAGAAAAAAGAATAGTCAAAATCAGAGTGTGGAACGTTCTAGCCTTCCCCAACAAATGCACAGTAGTACAAGCCAAGAAATTTAATTAAAAATGTTTATTTTGCACGTGAGATTAGAATCTGGTGCGATCAGGATCAGGCAGAGGAGCTCCACTGGCTGGCCCTCTCGAAGCCATTCTTGCCGTAGTAGTAGTCCTCCATGGCCTGCTGGATCTCGGCGCGCGAGTTCATGACGAAGGGCCCATGCTGCACCACGGGCTCACCAAGCGGCTTCCCCGCGACGAGCACGAACCTCAGCGGCCTGTCAGACCGATTCCACACGCTGAGCCCGTCGCCGGGGCCGAGGACGAGGCAGTGGTGCGCGGCGGTGGGCGCGGCCTTCTCCCGCCCGAACACGCCCTCGCCGTCGACGACGTAGACGAAGGCGTTCCACCCCTCCGGCACCGGCTGGTGCAGGCGGGACCCGGGGCGCATGGTGAAGTCGACGTACATGGTGGGGGTCCGCGTGTACACGGGGGACGCCGCGCCGAGTGCCTCCCCGGCGATCACGCGCGCCTCCACGCCGTCCACCTCCGCGCGGCTGATGTCCTTGCTCTCCAGCTCCTGGTACCGCGGCTCGATCATCTTGTCTTTAGAGGAGAGGTTGATCCAGAGCTGTAGCCCCTTCTGCACGCCGTCACCCGCCGGCATCTCCGAGTGCACGATGCCGCGGCCCGCTGTCATCCATTGCACGTCACCTGTTTTGATGGTTCCCTTGTGGCCAGCGAAGTCCTGGTGGGCGAAGGCTCCCTGCAACAACAACCGGAACCAGAAGGGGACGTTTCAGCGAACAGCTCGCGGGCGTTGAAGAGAAGAGAAGCGTTGAGCAGACGCAACGCACCTCGAGCATGTAGGTGACGGTCTCGAATCCTCTGTGCGGGTGGTCGGGGAATCCGGCGGGCTTGGAGACTGCGAGACGAATCGAGATAGAGAGAGAGAGGTGAGAAAACGGGCAGGTAGCTCGAGGAAGCCGTCCGGGCGAGCAGGAAAATTCCGACGATCCGAGCGTGCGAATTCGCAGAAAATTTGGGCGGAAATCGAGGAGTACCTGAGAATTCGTCGAGCATGAGGAAGGGGTCGAGGTTCCGGAGCTCATGCCTGCATGGAAGCACGCGCAAGGCGGCGAGGACAAGTCAACGACTGATCGAGGAGAGAAGGAGACGGACGGAATCGGACCATCTGCCAGCTTGCTTACCTGCCGATGCTCCTGCGGACGGTGGCGCCCTGCCCCTCGGGCTGCGACTCCGCGAGGACCTTCTTGACCACGGCCCTGGGCTTCTCGAACGGCGCCGCGGACGAAGCAGAGTCGGAAGCAGAGGACGACATGATCCGAGGCCGAGCTGGGGGCAACAAGACAGAGCTGGGGATCAAGACGAAGAAGAAGAGGAGGATCACGAGGAGCAGGAGCTGCTTTTGGGTGCTACTAGGAAAAATTGCTGTACTTGTTCGGCGGCGGTGGGGTGTGTTGTTGCCGAGCCTGCCGATGGCGGAGGTATAAATAGCAGGGGATGCCAGGCCCAGGTGCTGCCTCAGCCTCATCATCGTCGTCGTCATCGCGGCCTCAGCTCGTGTTGGTGTTGGTTCGTGTCCGTCCGGCCGGGGATATGGGACAGGGACGCCACTAGAAATACTCCAGGTGCGGTTGACCACGACGGACGGGTTCGGAAAAAAAAAAGGCCGAGGCGGGGTGGTTGACCGGCGCGTGCGGCTGCGGCAGGCCAGGCTGCGCGAGGAGGTGGACGCGGGCAATCTGGAGGTTGCAGACGACGCGCTTGCGCACGCGGGGCGTCATGCCGATGCTGCCGTCACGCTGCCGCCAGCATTATGCAATCCTCACTGCAAATCAGCATCACCCTGATGCACTCCTACTCCCGAAAAAATTATTATTATCAATAAAGATTATTAATCCACTCTACAATGTATATTCTATAACAAATAATACATCTGTTTATAGACCATGTTCAAAAAATATTTTATTATTATGACAGTATAAACAAGTTGGACATATAATATATTTTCATAATAAATCTATTTATACAGACATACAATGTAAATAATATTTTCTAAAAATTTTAAATGATTCAAACCTAGAATTAGATGAGTATCCAGTTTCAAACATAATTAAAAGCAGTCAATTCATCAATTAATCAATCAATTAAGTAATTTGCTTTTGCTCCACTACCTTCTAGAATTGCTAAATCAATCGACAATTACAGAAAGCTGCGACCAAACATGAGACAGGGAAAGACAAATCAGCCGCAGTCACGAATCACGAGTATGCTATCAAATCAAATCAAAAGGGGTAGCCAACGAAAGAGATATCAAACCAAAACTAAAAAAAAAAAAAACGACGATATTTAAGCAAAAGAAACTTAATAAAAAATTATACCATCCGTTACAAAATCGAGGAGCACCTCCTCCCATGTTCATCTCTCCACAATTCCTCTCACCAAAAGAATAATAAAGGGAAGCGACTAATCAGACGAACTAGGACTGAGCGGGGCGGGGGGCCGGAGCGGAGGACGGAGCTGGGGCAGCCGCGGAGCTGCAGCCGGTGCGGCAGATCGGGACGGAGCAGAGGCGGGTAGCGGCGGGAACAAATTCATGTCTTCGATGACGATGGGCTTCGGGGCAGGGTTGTGGCCGTTGCCGGAGTAGCCGCGTCCCCGCGCCCGGTAGTAGTTGTCATTGCCTGGGCAGCGCTGGTACCCACCATCGTTGCCGCCCTGGTTGTGGTAGCCGCCATTGCCTTGGTAGCCGCCGTTGCCGCCCTGGTTGTGGTAGCCGCCGTAGCCCCGGCCGCTGTAGCCGTCGCCGCGGCCGCCAGAGTAGTCGCCTCGCGGAGCACCGTAGCCCCGGCCACCAGAGTAGTCGCCCCTCGGAGAACCGTAGCCGCCGTCGCCGCGGCCACCAGAGTCGCCCCTCGGAGCACCGTAGCCGCGGCCGCCAGAGTAGCCGCCTCTCTGAGCAGTACCGTTGCCGTAGTTGCCAGCCTCGTCCTGGGCGGGCCGGCCATTGTCGCCACCTCGACCAGCAAGGACGCGGGAGTCGGTGCTGTTGTCGCGGCTGCGGCCCTGAGGAGCACCGCCACCATTGGAAGAGTCTTCCAGGATAACATTGCGCCTTGGTGGCGCAAAGGAGAGATCTTTCAACGGGATGACGACCTGAAATCATGTTTCTGATCAGATGCCACGCTAAAGAAAATAATGTTAATAAGAGTGCAGACAAGGAAACAGCAATGGTGATACCTTCTTGGGCTTGGCATCGTCAGCGTCCTTTGCCTCGGGCTGAGCCTTTTCTTCCTTCTTGCCAGTCTCCTTAGCCTTGTTCTGAACCTTTTCTGCTTTGATGACAGCTTCTTCATCATCCAGCTTCTTCTTCTCCAACATCTGCAGGCCCTTGAATCCATCGGCAGAGACCTTCCTCTGCTCGGTTCTTGAGACATCCTCCGAGGACTTCTTTTTCTCTTGACGAATCTTCTCATACTCAGCAAGGGTCTGTGAAAAATTTGAACATCAGTGCAAATTTGGAAATCAAGAAAGTTGAAAGAAAACTAATGAATTCAACAAAGAACTATGCTGCTGGAGCAGAGGGGGTTACCTTTTTCTCTTCCTCCCTAGGATAGTCTGCAAGTGGTTCCTTGTCAGTCTTCTTTGAAACATCAGCCTCGGATGAATCATGCTTCTTTGCCTTATCAACTTCATTGCCACCGTTCTTAGCATTCTTCCTCTTCCTTTTCTCAGAGCCATTGAGCTTCTTCTTTTGAAATTTTTTGTCTCCAGAAGGGCCACCTTGTCCGTTCTTACTTGCAGCAGCCCTGGCAAAAAAGAACAAATATTGATTTCAACACGATAATCTGCAGAGTTGCAAGAGGAAGATTAAAATTTGCATAGATCTTACCCTGCAGCAGAAGACTTTTCTGAACCAGAGGCAGGCGCGCCATCCGCATTAGCAGGAGTGGCAGCCTCCTTCTGAGGATTCTCTACAGGCTTGTGCTCAGCCTCCGAGCCAGCATCAGAGCTGACCTTCTCCTCAGGTTTGTGATCAGCCTCTGTACCAGCATCAGAGGATGGCTGCTTAGCTACCCACTTCTGAACCTTCCTGACCTCAGGATATCCCTGCCTGCCACCATCAGTGTTGTAGGCATAGCCTTCCTCTACCTGCCTCTCATGGTACACACATGCTCCATCAGCATGAACATCTGGCTCACCATCGTGATAGCTGGGTACACTGCCATAGCCATCACTGTTATAGCCGCCATTGAAATTGTCAACACCGGCATTGTCGTTGCCCTGAACACTTTCCACCTGATTGGGGACAGGGGGCTCTTCTTCGTCACCACCCACTAGAGGAAATCCATGCTCCAAATAAAACTCTTTCCTCAGTGGCCTCAACCTTGCTTCCTCCTCCCTCAGCTTCTTCTGCTGCTGCCTCAGCTTCCTTTGCTCCTCCGACAACTGCATGAGACGGAGCTCCCTTTGCTCCTCCGACAACTGAACCTGAATGAGATGGACTCCATTCTCTCCTTTCTCCTTCAGCTTTGTTTCCTGCCCCCTCAGTTTTATCAATACATCTCTCAACCTCTTGAGCTCGTGCTCAATATTTCTTATACCTGACAAGAAAACAGCAGGATGAGACACAAATCAAAGTGTGGCAAATAATAGAAACTATGAAACGTGTAATGACAACCATAAGATAACAAAGCTAGCTACACACATAATAAAGATTAATAACCATAACGTAACAAAGCTAAACCAGCAATCAGTAATGGCATTATCCCCCAATCAGTACTGGCAACCAAAATAACAGCTTTACCCCCCAGTCAATAATAGCTTTATCCCCCAGTCAGTAATGGCAACCATTAAGATAACAGCTTTACTATTTACGTTGAAATAAATAAATTGAACAAAGAACATAGACACGCATTAACAATATTAACAACATGAGATATTATTAAGAATTCTAACACAACATGAGATAGTTTATAGATTCAAAGATTAGAGACGCATTATTAACAATACTAACACAACATGAGATAGTTTAGATTCAAAGATTAGACACGCATTAACAATACTAATCCATATGAGATTCAAATATCAGAATTAGGAATAATCAATAGCCAAAGATTGGAATTGGAATTCGGAATAGCAATTGAATCTAGATTTACAATGATAAATCGGACGACCACATGACATCTGATAGACACAGTACATAATATAGAGTTATATAAACTAGACATGCAAAGATTGAACAATGAATACGAATCTATCTACCACGCTAACTGGAGACAAGAGATCGAACAATGAGCACGAAATCTTTATCCACTCACAACATGTCCCGTAACCAAACTAAACTAATCTCCCTGCTCTCGGGACAAGATCGCAACAAGAAAGCACGCACGCATCACGATAATCGGATCAAACTAGACGAAGGAACAAGGCAGGCGATCGATCGAGACGAGCGCTAACTTAACGACGAAGGAAGATCGGAACTTGGGAACCGGCAGGTTAGTCGGACGGGAGATTGAGGTGTATGCACGTACCATTGTCGTGCTGAAGCTTCAAGTAGTAGAGGTTCTTGTGCACGGCCTTCTCCTTCTCGGTGGTCCCGGTGGCGGCGGACTCGGCCTTCTTGGCGTGGGCGGCCTCGGCCTCGGCCTTGACCTTGCCGACGACGACGGACACGGCGGCCTCCCCGGACTCGCCGTCCGCGAGCTCGAGCAGGCCGAAGTTGAAGCTGGCCATGGCGGTCGTAGTCGTCGTAGCAGAGATCCCGGTCGACGGCTGCGCGTCGCGCGGCTCGCCGCCCTACTACTAGACCCTCAAACACGAAGCGAAGAGGCGGCGCGCGCTAGATGGCTGGGGCTCCCGATCGCTAGCTTTGCGGGATTGATCGAGTTGACTCGAGATCGAGAGGCTTTGGTTTGGTTGCCGATGGTGGAGGAGGCCACCGGGTGCCGCGCCGCGGTTTTATAGGGCCGGCCGGGACGGGCCGTTGGATCGCGAGCGGAGGAGCAGGAGTCCAACTCGGATCGGAGCCCGTGATCCGCACCGGATCCGCCGTTGATTGACTGCGCCACGGTTGCTGGATTGGATGGATCACGTACGTACGTGCACCGATATGATCGTCGTGGCGGGTTCGGTCTGGTTTCGTTTCCTTTTGTGTGTGTGAGACGATGATGAGGGGGAAAAACGTAGCCTTATACGTCTGTTTATTTGGGCTGGTTTGGCTTATAAGTCATGACTGAAAGTAATTTTGGCTAGTTTAGTGTAAGAGAAAAATATTGTTCGTTGACTAATAAGCCATGACTTATAAGTCAAATACGATAAAGCGAACAGGCTAATAGGCGATAGTGGTGTGGGTCTTCTAGAAGTTTCCAGCTCACTTATCAATTCGAGTAAGCGTCGTATATTAATATATACTATTTTATAGATTTTCTTATAATAGGCGATACAGTACATTTTTGTTTGATTCAGCAATCAAGGAAAAAATCATGCCTGGGTTCGAGAAAAGAAGCCTTCCGTGAGGACCGTGACCCTGACTTTCTCTCTTCTCTCTTCCAGTTCCAGTTCCAGTTCCAAGTCGGTCCGGGTTGGTATTTGCATTGGATTCCGACTGTATGCAAATACGTACGTACACGTACATCGACACGTTGCAGAGCTTGCAAGTGTCTGTATGTACGCAACATAAAGTTTTTTAGCACCAATTGGCCCATATAAGATGTAAAGATCTTGCAACATTATTAAAGAATCTCCAATAGAAACATTGATAATCACATATTTATGAAAACAAAAGGAGTATCATATGTATTAAAAAATATTTGAGTATACAAAGACCAAACTAATATAAAGGAAAATATTGGAAAAGAAATAAAGTGCAGCATACCTTTATGTTAATCACTTTTATGCTGCTTGGAATTTTCTATATAACAATAGTTATCAATTAGAAGAAATATAATTAACCACACATGAACTTGGGCGTGCTAACGCTACGGTAATGTCTAGAAAAAAAATAAAACATAAAACCAAAATAAATAGCCTCTTCATGCTCTTGTGATTCCCTACGACTCGTAAAACATCTATACCCTATGGATTTTAGGACTAACTACTAAAGCCCTCAATGCCATCATCTTCTAGTAAAACCATAAAGTTTTTTAGCACCAATTGGCCCATATAAGATGTAAAGATCTTGCAACATTATTAGAGAATCTCCTATAGAAACATTGATAATCACATATTTATAAAAACAAAAGGAGTATAATATGTATTAAAAAATATTTGAGTATACAAAGACCAAACTAATATAAAGGAAAATATTGGAAAAGAAATAAAGTGCAGCATACCTTTATGTTAATCACTTTTATGCTGCTTGGAATTTTCTATATAACAATAGTTATCAATTAGAAGAAATATAATTAACCACACATGAACCTGGGCATTTGACACTCAACAGGTGCCTAAATCAATATCATGGCATCATCACTAACCACACATGAACCTGGGCATTTGACAATAGAGCATTTAGTCAGCTTTCAATTCCACGGTATGATCACAACGAAATTGCATCTGACACTCAACAGTTACCCAAATACCCGTACATGATCAGCACCAAATTAGCAGCTAAAGCAACCATCAGAGCATGGAATACGCAAAACAAATCAAATAATTAGGACCAGAGAACAACAGTGCTTACGATCCAATTCCTGGTTTTGGTAAGTCCTTGGGCGAGCCCATGGGTGCAGTAGGCAACATCTAATACCAAAGACACAAACGGAAGGAGGCACAGATGTGGAAGGAAGGGATTGACGAAGACAGGACATTGCACCCTGAACAACATTGCCACCATACACATGTGCTAGACAATAACCACCGGTAGAGAACCGAGCTTTACTCTCGGTGGGGAACCCCCTCTAGTCTCGGTTTCCCACCCGGGAGCAAGCATCCGGGACTAAAGGGGGTCCTTTAGTCCCGGGTCAGGAACCGGGACTAAAGGAGGACCTTTAGTCCCGGTGTGTAACACCAACCGGGACTAAAGGTGCCTCCTAACATGCCACGATGGCCGACACCTTTAGTCCCGGTTGGTAATACGAACCGGGACTAAAGGTTTTTTTCTTTTTTCTTTTCTTTTCATTTTTTTTCTTTTCGAAGTCGTATTGTACGCTGCTAATTATACATTTATACGTGCGTATAGTATGTTTCGGTTCAAGCACAATTAACGTATTAAATCACACAATTCAAACATAGAATATATATATATATATATATATATATGCATGCATGCATCATATATATATTTACATGCATGCATGCATATGTGTATTTTACATTATATTATTTCATGTGCATATATTACAAAAAGATTGCATTACAGTTGTTGTGATATAACAAGTTTTCTCTCATCCTCTAGCTTGGCTTCCATGGCAGTGTTGGGTCGAAGTAGAACTCGCCCTTGGAATCGATGACCTGCTCATTAAAAAATCCGGCTATAGACTCTTGAATTGCTTTGATTTGGTCTTGCCGTATGACCTTTTCCTCCAACCATCGAGTCTACAGGTTTGAATTAAAGGAAAATAAATTAATATATGTACATATATTTATATAAAGACATAGTAACACAATCAATAATAATAATTAAATGAATATATAGTGTATTTTTAACGTACTTTGAGTCTCTCTGTAGGAGTTCTTTGGGAGATCACCTTGATAAACTTGCAAACATAGTAACCACAGTAGTTGTTCCCCTGTTCCTGCCTCAGACACCACTTTACGAGAAAAAGATTTGTCATCCAATCTGGTGATCCGGTGAAAGCTATATGTTTAATTAATAAAGATGATGCGATTCAGGGGACTTACTTTCAAAGGGATTACATTCAGTGGCGCTTTGCATTTTTCCATGTGTTGCTTCTCAATAAAGGTTTTCCAAACACTGCCCAATAAAAAATTTGCCACGTCATCAGATATAGTTAATCATCATGTTTGTGTGTATATATAGTTGCTAGAGATCCCGAAATTACCTCTGGATAATATCTATCATATCTTGGTAGTCTTGTTGTGGTTTTCTCATCGAGTCATAGATTATCAAGTGACTTTTCACCAGATCGATGTCCATCAATATCCAGTGATTGCTGCATGTGTTTATAGGATATAACGCATAACACTCATTAATTAACTAGAATCAACATATGAGCCATTAAGGATGATCGATATTATTAACACTCACTTGAAGTTATAGGGAAAGAGTATATCCTTCTTGTGGCGTTGGTTCACTAAGAAGTTCATGAGGTTACTCTCTGACTTAGACTTCCAATTAGTCTTTGGAGTAATTGGGTCTTTGAATATTATATGGGGATCAACAAAACCAATTTCATTGCAGCCTTCCTTTCTGAGCTCTGTCATTGTAAATCTACATATATATAGTACTTGTTAGGATAATTTATATGCATATACACACATATGATGAGTTTAATAATAGATCGAAAGAATTATTACTTACAGGCAATAGCAGCTAATGATAACTTTGTCCAGAGAGGTCAGGTGGCATAGTTGATGAAATTCTGCAAAGTCAACATACATAACATCATCGCCACGGAACCAATGTTCGTCTCTAATTCTGACACCAACGCAGAAGTCTCCACCGGTAGACGCCTGCATGTACCACTTGTTTAGCAGGTACATTTGCGTCCCCAGATCAGATAAGGCTTGAGGGTTGTATAGACTCTGGCCTAGTACAAATTTTTTCTTCCAAATATCAACCTCCGCCGCACTCTCAATGTTTCCATCACCAAACATCTGGTAAAGGTCGAGACCAGTCTCATCAATAAATTCACCAAGGTGATCCAAATCGACATCCAAAGGTATGTTTGCCTGATGCATTAATCCTAAATTCGAACCATATTCATTACCAACAACTAGCGGGGGGACTGATTGGTGCGCTTGTTGTTCGAGTTGGGCAACTCCTTTCCCTGCCCGCTTCTTTTTCTGTGCCGCCTCAATTGACTTGGTGAGAGTGCGGTCATAGTCCGATAACGTTGATTTGGACGACTTACGAGATTCCCGCTGTTGTTGCTGGTAAGAAGCCACCCTTTTTCTTAGAATATCTGGAGCTACTAATAAGTACGGTTTCTCCGGGTTTCTTCTTGCTTTTTGATTCTTTTTAAGTTTGTCATAGAATCTAGACATATCTTTTTTATATGCATCAGTTCCTTCTTCCTTCTCTTCAGATATTATTTTGGAAATAGCCCTTGGTTTCATGGTGGCTTTCTTTGCAGGCGGGGACTGGTTCTTCGTTTGAGGGACTGGCCTCTTGCTAGGCTTCTTGGTAGGCGGGGCGGGGAGGCGTTGGAGACCTCCTTGGAGGTGTTGGCAGCGGCGTTGGAGACCTCCTTGGAGGTGGTGGCTGTGGCATTGGAGACCTCCTTGGAGATGGTGTGGATGCAGCCTCGCCTTCCAACACAATGTCATCGTCTGAGCACTATGATGATCTGGCGATTGAACAATTGGATTTAGGTTGGGGAGGATCTGCTACAAAAAAAGGAATGACATATTATTATGAGCGCATTGTTAATTATTTAAGCCAATACAAATTAATGATGTAGTGTTTTCATCCATGCGTACCTATGGTGAGGTAGTTCAGAGTTGGTGGAGCCGACATCCCCGGAATGATAATGTAGCGCTTATGCCATAGAATGAATGTCTTCTCCGCTTTCTCCTAGAGTCTTCTCCATCACCTCCGAGGAATGTCAAGA